AAATAAGTATGTGTCAAATCATTTCAGTTCAACTTTCCTGTTTCTTCTGTATGCAGAAGTACATTGAGCTACAAAGTGTCTCTGATGTTTCCAATTAGGTGTTTGAAATTGTTGTGGTGCTCTGTGATCGCCTTGATGCAGTGGGTGATTGATGTCACTCATAGGAAAAGGAAATGTATCCTCATCATCCTCAAAATATCCTGGTCTCCCTGCTATAGGAAAAATGTTGTGAAACTTGATAGGGTTCAGAAAAAAATTTACAAGGATGTTGTCAGGGTCAGAGGGTTTGAGTTATAGGGAGAGGCTGAATAGGCTCGGGCTGTTTTCCCTAGACCGTTGGAAACTGAGAGGTGACCTTATAGAGTTTATAAAATCATGAAAGGCATGGATAGGGTGAGTAGTTCAGATTAGGGGAGTCCAAAACTAGAGGAAATAGGTTGAAGTTGAGAGGGGAAAGATTTAAAAGGGACCTGAGGGTCAATATTTTCTCTCAGACGGTGGTGCATGTATGGAATGAGCTGCCAGAGGAAGTGGTAGAGGCTGGTGCAATTAGAACATTTAAAAGGAGGAAGAGTTCAGATAGATATGGGCCAAAAGCTGGCAAATGGGACTAGATTAATTTTGGATATCTGGTTGGCGTTGACAAGTTGATATGTAGGGTCTGTTTCCGTGCTGTACATTTCTATGACTCTAAGTTAATTCACATCTTTAATGTGGGTTGTAACCTGCTTTTGGAGTTGAGGTTGTGAGCCTTTGGCCAGCAACAGCTGCTGTGAATCTCTTACCAAGTGAATCATAGAATCCCTACAGTCCCATTGAGTCTGCACCAACCCTGTGAAAAGCATCCCACTCTATCTCATAACACTGCACTTACCATCACTAACCTACTTACTCTGTATATCCCTGGATACCATAGGGCATGGACGAGTTGATCAAAGTGTCTGTTTCCATGTTGTACATCTCTATGACTCTATGATTCTCTGCTCACAATCAAACATCTTGCTTGTTGTCATCCAAAAAGATAAATATTGATACTGAACAATTTGCTTGTTATACTTGGCATGTGATAAAGTTGATGCAAGTTCATGGTTGCAATTTGTCCATCTGATTTGAAGCCACTCACTATTATTAACTCACATTGCCCTTGCAATGGAACATTTGTCAAATTAGGCTTTTACTTCATCTTGGTGCTCTACAATTGCATCAACTTTCTCTCTGAAATTCTTGCTAACTGGTGTTGATGGCTGGAGAAGGTCTGTGATATGCAAAAGTTATGATGTATGCTGGGATCAGCTGTTGTCTCCCAGTCAGAGAATATGGGGTGGATTGATATGTAACGGTTTTGACAGCGAGGATGTTGTAGGTATTCCCCAAGTGCACACAAATAATTGTCCATGTCTGGCAGTTTTCTTATCATAAAATTAGAAAATATTCTCCTACTCTCCATATGTCTTTCTATGACTCTTCAGGGAGAAATTCATAAATGTTTTACAAAACAGATCTCCTTTGAAAGTTTGGTCATTGTTGTGTGAAACCATATTGCTCTGTGTACTTTTTGAGATTCATGCACAAGGACACCCAGGTCTCTCTGCACAGCAGAATACTGCAGTTTTTCACCAGTTAAATAATAGTCCATGTTACTGTTATTCCTACCAAAATGGATGACCTCACATTTACCAACATTGTATTCCATCTGCCAGATCCTTGCCCACTCACTTAGACTATCTACATCCCTCTGCAGACTTTCAGTGTCCTCTGCACACTTTGCTCTACCACGCATCTTAGTGTCATCCGCAAACTTTGATACACTGCACTTGCTCCCAATTCTAAATCCTCTATGTAAATTGCAAACAATTTTGCGGTCCCAAGATTGATCCCTGAGGCACACCACTAACGACAAATCACCAGCCATAAAAACATCCATTTATCCCCACTCTTTGCTTTCTGTTAGTTAACTAATCCTCGATCCATCTAATACTTTGCCCATAACACCACGCATCTTTATCTTATGCAGCAGCCTTTTGTGCATCACCTTGTTGAATGCCTTCTGGAAATCCAGATACACCTCATCCACCAGTTCCCTGTTGTCAACCGCGTTCATAATGTTCTCAAAGAATTCTAGTAAATTCGTTAAACATAACCTGTCTTTCATGAACCCATGCTGTGTCTGCCCGTCGGCACAATTTCTATCGCTATTTCTTCCTTGATTATGGAGTCAAGCATTTTCCCCACTGCAGAAGTTAAGCCAACAGGCTATTGTTACGCGCCTTTTGTCTACCTCCTTTCTTAAACGGTGGCATCATATTTGCTGTTTTCCAATTTGCCAGAACTGTCCCAGAGTCCATTGAATTTTGGTAAATTACCACGAGCGCACCTGCTATCTCTTTTAGTACCCTGGGATACATTCCATCAGGGCCAGGAGACTTGTCTACCTTTCGCACAATTAGCTTGTCCAACACTACCTCTTTTATGATAATGATAACTTCTACATCCTCACCTGCCATATCCTCCTTGTCATGAATTATTGACATGTTATTTGTGTTCTCCACTGTGAAGACCGACACAAAATACCAGTTCAATGTCTTGGCCATTTCTTCATTTTCCATTATTAAATCCCCCTTCTCAGCCTATAAGGGAACAATGTTTACCATAGGCACTCTTCCTCATTTTATATATTTATAGAAACTTTTGCTATTTGTTTTTATATTCTGAACTAGTTTACTCTCGTAATCCATCTTAATTTTCTTTATAGCTTTTTTTCATGGCTTTCTGTTGACCTTTAAAAGTTTTTCAATCTTCTTGTTTCCCACTAATCTTTGCCACTTTGTATGCACTTGCTTTCAATTTGATACCGTCCTTTATTTCTTTAATTGTCCATGGCTGATTTTCCCTTTTTCTACAGTCCTTTCTTCTCACTGGTATATACAGGGGAGTCCAAAACTAGAGGGCATAGATTTAAGGTGAGAAGGGAGAGATTTAAAAGATACCTAAAGGGGCAACTTTTTGATGCAGAGGGTGGTGCATGTACGGGATGAACTGCCAGAGGAAGTGGTGGACGCTGGTACGATTGCAACATTTAAAAGGCATCTGGATAGGTACATGAATTGGAAGGTCTCGAAGGATATGGGCCAAGTGCTGGCAAATGGGATTGGATTAATTTAGGATATCTGGTTGGCATGGATGAGTCGGACTAAAGGGTCTGTTTCAGTGCTGTGCATCTCTCTGACTCTATGGCTCTACCAATAATAATGACAGCTAATTTCAAGGCTTTGAGAAAGCTCTCTTGTTCTTCCTGCCACACAAGCAATGCTTGAAAGGCAATTAATTGTGAACTTTAAAAGCGTTAGTCCTGGCAGAGAAATACAATTGAGGTGCAGGTCCCCTTTAAAATGTTTAAATGAGGAGTTCAACTCTTGGGTACGGTTCGTTTGCCTGCTCTCTGTCTGGCTTCCGATAAAGCAAGGGTGGGTAAGTTCACCATGAATTGGGTTCATGTTTGAGATTTTAAGACATTTGCATCCTCAAACCTCAAATTCAAGGAGCTAGGGTGGAAGCTTAGAGCTAGAACAAACAGAGTTGTTATCTCTGGTTTGTTACCCGTGCCAAGTGCTAGCGAGGCGAGGAATAGGGAGAGAGAGCAGTTGAACACGTGGCTACAGGGATGGTGCAGGAGAGAGGGATTCAGATACCTGGATAATTGGGGCTCATTCTGGGGTAGGTGGGACCTCTACAAACGGGATGGTCTACACCTGAACCAGAGGGGTACCAATATCCTGGGGGGGAGATTTGCTAATACTCTTCGGGAGGGTTTAAACTAATTCAGCAGGGGAATGGGAACCTGAATTGTAGCTCCAGTGTACAGGAGGTTGAGAGTAGTGAGGTCATAAATAAGGTTTCAAGGTCGCAGGAGTGTACCGGCAGGCAGGAATGTGGTTTGAAGTGTGTCTACTTCAATGCCAGGAGCATCCGGAATAAGGTGGGTGAACTTGCAGCATGGGTTGGTACCTGGGACTTCGATGTTCTGGCCATTTCAGAGACATGGATAGAGCAGGGACAGGAATGGTTGTTGCAGGTTCCGGGGTTTAGATGTTTCAGTAAGATCAGGGAAGGTGGTAAAAGAGGGGGAGGTGTGGTATTGTTAGTCAAGGACAGTATTACGATGGCAGAAAGGACGTTTGATGACAACTCGTCTACTGAGATAGTATGGGCTGAGGTTAGAACCAGGAAAGGAGAGGTCACCCTGTTGGGAGTTTTCTATAGGCCTCCGAAAAGTTCCAGAGATGTCGAGGAAAAGATTGCAAAGATGATTCTGGATAGGAGCAAAAATAGATAAGTCCCCTGGGCCGGATGGGATTTATCCTAGGATTCTCTGGGAAGCTAGAGAGGAGATTGCAGAGCCTTTGGCTTTGATCTTTATGTCGTCATTGTCTTCAGGAATAGTTATGGGGGACTTTAACTTTAACTTTCCAAATATTGACTGGAAACGCTATAGTTCGAGTACTTCAGATGGGTCAGTTTTTGTCCAATGTGTGCAGGAGGGTTTCCTGACACAGTATGTAGATAGGCCAACAAGAGGCGAGGCCACATTGGATTTGGTACTGGGTAATGAACCAGGCCAGGTGTTAGATTTGGAGGTAGGTGAGCACTTTGGTGATAGTGACCACAATTCGGTTACGTTTACTATAGCGATGGAAAGGGATCGGTATATACCGCAGGGCAAGAGTTATAGCTGGGGGCAAGGCAATTATGAAGCGATTAGGCAAGATTTAGGATGCATAGGATGGAGAAGGAAACTGCAGGGGCTGGGCACAATTGAAATGTGGAGCTTGTTCAAGGAACAGCTACTGCGTGTCCTTGATAAGTATGTACCTGTCAGGCAGGGAGGAAGTGGTCGAGCGAGGGAACTGTGGTTTACTAAAGAAGTTGAATCTCTTGTCAAGAGGAAGAAGGAGGCTTATGTAGAGATGAGGCGTGAAGGCTCAGTTAGGGAGCTTGAGTGTTACAAGTTAGCCAGGAAGGACCTAAAGAGAGAGCTAAGAAGAGCCAGGAGGGGACATGAGAAGTCTTTAGCAGGTAGAATCAAGGAAAACCCTAAAGCTTTCTATAGGTATGTCAGGAATAAAAGAATGACTAGAGTAAGATTGGGGCCGGTTAAGGACAGTAATGGGAAGTTGTGCGTGGAGTGCGAAAAGATAGGAGAGGAGCTAAATGAATATTTTTCGTCAGTATTCACACAGGAAAAAGACAATGTAGTCGAGGAGAATACTGAGATACAGGCTATTAGACTAGACGGGATTCAGGTTCATAAGGAGGAGGTGTTAGCAATTCTGGAAGGTGTGAAAATAGATAAGTCCCCTGGGCCGGATGGGATTTATCCTAGGATTCTCTGGGAAGCTAGAGAGGAGATTGCAGAGCCTTTGGCTTTGATCTTTATGTCGTCATTGTCTTCAGGAATAGTGCCAGAAGACTGGAGACTAGCAAATGTTGTCCCCTTGTTCAAGAAGGGGAGTGGAGACAACCCTGGTAATTATAGACCAGTGAGCCTTACCTCGGTTGTGGGTAAAGTGTTGGAAAGGATTATAAGAGATAGGATTTATAATCATCTAGAAAGGAATAATTTGATTAGGGATAGTCAACACGGTTTTGTGAAGGGTAGGTCGTGCCTCACAAACCTTATTGAGTTCTTTGAGAAGGTGACCAAACAGGTGGATGAGGGTAAAGCGGTTGATGTGGTGTATATGGATTTCAGTAAAGCGTTTGATAAGGTTCCCATGGTAGGCTATTGCAGAAAATACAGAGGCATGGGATTGAGGGTGATTTAGCAGTTTGGATCAGAAATTGGCTAACTGTAAGAAGCCAGAGGGTGGTGGTTGATGGGAAATGTTCATCCTGGAGTTCAGTTACTAGTGGTGTACCTCAAGGATCTGTTTTGGGGCCACTGCTGTTTGTCATTTTTATAAATGACCTGGATGAGGGCGTAGAAGGATGGGTTAGTAAATTTGCGGATGACACCAAAGTCGGTGGAGTTGTGGATAGTGCGGAAGGATGTTGCAGTTTACAGAGGGACATAGATAAGCTGCAGAGCTGGGCTGAGAGGTGGCAAATGGAGTTTAATGCGGAAAAGTGTGAAGTGATTCACTTTGGAAGGAGTAACAGGAATACAGAGTACTGGGCTAATGGTAAGATTCTTGGTAGTGTGGATGAGCAGAAAGATCTCGGTGTCCATGTGCATAGATCACTGAAAGTTGCCACCCAGGTTGATAGGGTTGTTAAGAAGGCGTACAGTATGTTAGGTTTTATTGGTAGAGGGATTGCGTTTCGGAGCCATGAGGTCATATTGCAGCTGTACAAAACTCTGGTGCGGCCGTACTTGGAGTATTGCGTACAGTCCTGGTCACTGCATTATAGGAAGGATGTGGAAGCATTGGAAAGGGTGCAGAGGAGATTTACCAGGATGTTGCCTGGTATGGAGGGAAGGTCTTATGAGGAAAGGCTGAGGGTGTTGAGGCTGTTTTCGTTAGAGAGAAGAAGGTTAAGAGGTGACTTGATAGAGACATACAAGATGATCAGAGGATTAGAGAGGGTGGACAGTGGGAGCCTTTTTCCTCGGATGGTGATGGCTAGCACGAGGGGACATAGCTTTAAATTGAGGGGTGATAGATATAGGACAGATGTCAGAGGTAGGTTCTTTACTCAGAGAGTAGTAAGGGCGTGGAATGCCTTGCCTGCAAAATAGTTGACTCGCCAACTTTGAGGGCATTTAAATGGTCATTGGATAAACATATGGATGATAATAGAATAGTTTAGGTTAGATGGGCTTCAGATTGGTTTCACAGGTTGGCGCAACATCGAGGGCCGAAGGGCCTGTACTGCGCTGTAATGTTCTATGTTCTATGTTCTGACTGCTTTCGTGTTTATAATCTCTCCCCATCCACCACACCCCTCCGAAGTACACACATAGTTTTCTTTACAATATTCCAAGTTTACAGACCACTGACTGTGTGATTGTATGTGAAAGGAATGAGTCTGTTCCATTCAACATAATTTTGTTTTCTACACAGGATCAATTTATTTATTCTTGGGGTGAAACTTGCAGGCAGCATTGTATTCATGTTGTGTTTACTATGTTAGGCTAACCAAGTTAGAATACAGTTTAATAGCAATACAATTCCACAATAGTTAACAAATGAAAGAACCTGTGCTGACATTTGATTGTAATTCCTTAGTGAGTGGATATAATGTCCCGTAAAATTGGAGAGTTATTGGTCAGAAAAAGACTAGTCAGAAACACTAACAATTATTCTCTTAGTATTATTCACACAAACTGTATGAAATTTACAGTGTACTTTATTTGTAATGAAACTGTGCACACCTAATTCCTTTTCCTGCTTGCTGATGTTAGTTTTTTGAGGATGACTTTTTACTTTTTCCACACACAAAGTATTTATGGAAGTCATATCCAGTTCTAGCTCCAATTGGACCCAGGGTAGAAAGCCCAGCTTTTGCCCCTGTTGAAAGAAAAACATAATTATTTCGTTGTTGCTAGGATATTCCCTAAGGAATTAATGAAACAATTAGGATTTTCTTGCATTCATCATGGGATATGGGCATCACAGGCATGGCTAGCATTTTTTGAACCATTGATTGTGGAATCTGCAGTCATGACTCTGGATCATCAGGCTGGATTTTACTGCCTTCCTTTGGGGGTTTTTTTTTGATGTACATAACATGTATTGGATCACCAATGCACCTTTTTCCTGCTCACCCTGAATCGTTCCCATTGGTAAAGCACCCACTAGGCCATCCACCCCTATTCCTAGTGGGATCCTTGGATGTCCATAAGTGGCAATTAATGGCCTAATACATCTCCTCTGCCAAATAACGCTGAACAAAGGGAGGCAGGTCAGAGTGCAAAGACCATTTCACAAACTGCTTTTTCTGAAAAGAGAGGCAGGATAGAATCATCATACAGTCATCATAGAATGCCTACATTATTGGAGTGGCACATCAATTAGGGGTTACCCCATGTTTATTGCTCTCTGCCTGGCCTCCAAAGTTTGCCCCACAACCCCATATGTCTCTAGCAACATGACCGTAGAATGTTTGAACCCTTCCTACCCTAAAGTCCTGGGATTTTATTCACTCCATTTCCCATCACTGTTCCTCATGGATATTCTTACAATCCCAGTTGCCAATTTATGCCTCCACCAATGTCTAATGCTTTTCTTACATGGTTGGGGACAGGGAACGTGACAAGTACCAGCCTCTTTATAAAATCTAGCCCAGTAGATCAGTAACATAACCCCTATACTATCCTACCTGTAAAATGTAAAAGGCACAAGTTTTTGTGGGAATTCTCCCATTGTAGCAACAAATGTAAAAGTTTTGAGATGAGGAATCTCGGTAACACACGCCGGTAGTGCAGCACAATTGACGATTCACACAAAGAATGTATAAGACAAATTTGGTCCACATAAATTCATATAACTCACCAAGACTTTGAAGTTTTGACACCAGACTTCCTGTAGGCACTGATCCCCTATTGAATAATGCAGCGGCTTTCATCATTAATGCTCCAACAGATTTCGCTGCTATCCCCTTTGTGGTAAATCCAAGTGCTCCAACAACCGGGGGACCTCCTAACATTGCTGCTCCTTTGCCAAATGGAAAAATAATACAACATTTAATAAAATTGTGTTGAACTATTTCTCAACAATATGCAAGCTTTATGCTACTGTAGTTATCATGGAATCGCTGCAAATTATTTTACCTAAAATTTTCAAAGGGACGTGATGCAATTTCTAGGTTAAACACCACTGCCAGTATGATATGATTTTGTGCTATCTATATGTTAGCCCATATAACATATGCCAATGAAGAGGGGATTGTTGTATTAACAACACTAATTACTCACACTGCCATCAGATCTCAGACTTACACATAGTCTGGGTGCTGTGTTTACTGACTACGGGAGCAAATATGTGGCATGGAATGTAGGCTGTTAGCTTTATTACTGTGGCTGCTAATAGGAATAAAGTTGAGTAGGATTTGGCATATTGTGATGGCATTTAACTGTCTTAATGGTACATGGCCAGCCTGGACTTGGATCTGTACAACTATACATCATTATCATCATAGAATCCCTTCAGTGTGGAAACAGGCCCTTTGGCCCAACAAGTCCACACCAACCCTCAGAGAATCCCATCCAGACCCATCCCCCTATTACTCACCTAATCTACACATCCCTGAACACTATGGGCAATTAAGCATGGCCAATCCACCTGGCCTGCACATCTTTTGAGCACCTGGAGTAAACCCACGTAGACAATGTGCAAACTCCACACAGACAGTCACCTGAGGTGGAATCAAACCTGGGTCCCTGGTGCTGTGAGGCAGCAGTGCTAACCACTGAGCCACCGTGCCACCCTACAAAAAAAATTGCCAGTCGTCCTCCTCACAGAGACCTTCATTTTGGTTGGAGGAGGAGGGACAGTGGGAAACACCAGTATTGTGATACATCATCCCTTTTTCCTTTAGATAATGGGAACCTATTTCTGATCAACATATTCCAGTTTGAAATGGATATAATATCTGTACTTACTAAGATAATGCCTTGGCAGACATACAACATGATTAGATCTAGTCATAGAGACATACAGAATGCAAACAAGCCCTTCAGATCAACTCGTCCATACTGACCAGTCTTGCAAAACGTAAGCAGTCCAATTTGCCTGTGTTTGGTCCATATCTTAAACAAGTATAATAACTTGATTGTATCAGTTCGTTCTTTGGTTTGCTGTCTGTCATCATGGGACGATGAGTATCATTCACTGTAGGTGTGTTATTGTCAGGTGTGATATCTTCAGGCAGCAAGTTGCCATTCAGTGTGACAGATAATTGATTATATACAGTTCATATATGCCACCTATCCTTTGTAGGACTTGGCCATTGCTTAATACAAAATCTTAGGACCTAGAGTAGAAACAATGTTGTAGTATCTTTCCACTTACATGTGGAAGACAAGTCTGCCATTGCTATCCCTACCAGTAGCAGTCTTTGTGACTGCAGGCCACCTACTCCTCCCTCCTTGTAAGGAGCACAAACCTCCATTGTAACAATAAGGAAGTATGAACGTGTTTTCAACAGTATATGATATCAAATTAACATTTACTAACCGATGCCTTCAGATCAATCGTCTCATCAGATGGTATGACATCGGGTCCTACCAAGGAGAAGACACACAGAATATGCCTGTCTCTGAAAGACCAGAAGAAACAGGTTTATTCAAAGACCTGTTAAATATATTCAGGCCATCCACTGATGACCTTTTTCAGCTGTTGCAACCAGTCATTATCTGATGTAGCTTTCTGAATCTCCTCTGCCAAAGTGTATGGTTTTGATGTTGAGGTTGTTTTATAACTCAGACTTATTATTATCTACTTGTAGCTCCAGAGGAATCTTTACTCTTAGCAGAATTTGAAAGTTGTCTAAGAGCATCAAAATAGTAATAGGGGTTCTGAGGAAGTGTGACCAGACCCGAAACCTTAACTCTGTTTTTTCCTCCACAGATGCTGCCAGACCTGCTATGCTTTTCCAGCAACTTTGTTTTTGTTCCTGATTTACAGCAGTTCTTTCAGTTTTCAGTTTTCATTAGTCATTTTAGAACCTTGTTTGTATTGTACTTTTAAATCATACCCTGGATCTTTACAGGGAAGGGGCATACTTGGAAATGATTGGTTGAGAGCTATACACTTAAATTTGTGGTGGACATGAACAATGAAATGCTTGCTGAATAGGTTTGTGTGAACTGTTGTTTTGTGAAAACTGGAGAAGGAGCTTCTCTTTTGAAGTTGGAATCTTTTGCTTGAGCTGCTGGAGGCGTCTTAGAGGCAAATATAATAGGCTTGTCATCCTGTTATAGACATGCTCTGACACCTTCTGGAGATGTATCCATTTCCAATGTAGTAAATTTGGAGAATTTCTAATATTGAAGATGATAAAGCGTTTTTGAGATAGTGAGAAATGTGCTAATGATCTTCCTGTCACATTATGGTGTGTCTTTGTGGATAAGATCTCAAAGCAGAGGGAATTTGTTTACAACATTTGGAATAAATGGAGAATGAAAATGAAAGAAAATGAGATATCTTCAAGTCTCTTATGTCTTGTAGTGCAGGCATATTCTATGTGTCTTCTCATTGGTAGGACCAGATGTCATGTCATCTGATGATAGGATTGATCTGAAGGCATCGGTTAGTATATGTTAATTTGATATCATATACTGTTGAAAACACGTTCATATTTCCTTATTGTTACAATGGAGGTTTGTGCTCCTTACAAGGAGGGAGGAGTAGGTGGCCTGCAGTCACAAAGACTGCTACTGGTAGGGATAGCAATGGCAGAGCCACTGGATTTGTTGTAAGACAGCGAGGTGGAGCGAGGTTGCAGAGGAGCTAAACACCTGTTGGAGCTCCAGATTCCTTCATGTTCCTCGACAGTGACAGAGACTCTCTGGCAGGCCAGCAGATGTACCTGATGGCTTGAGCTGACACCATGGATTGATGTAACTGCATGGATACAACTGTATGTTGTTCTGCCCTCATGGTTGCTCTCTCCGTGAGATTTGGGTTTTGGAGTTCAGGCCTGCACTCTTAGGCTGCTCAAGAGACTTTCCTTACTCTGAGCCTGTTGCATCTCTGTCTCTGCCTTATCTAAAATTGAATACTAACTGGTTTCTAACAAACTCTAAATGTCACATATAAACATACAGAATACTGATCCTTGTACTATTGCTCTCACTATAGTTAGTCCATCGTTGCTTCATTAGAATTGTGATAACATGTGACTTCTGATGTTAGGATTACATAATTATGTACATCATCATATTATTAACATATGCATGTTCAGTATATTGGAGTGAAATGCCTGTCTGCACATTCCTGTATATCACCCCATTGAGGCCCATATCTTACTCTACAGCACAACACATCAGCAGCCTCAGCCTAAACAGCTGCATATTGAACAATCCTTTTCCGCTGGATTGACTGCTGCCTGTCTATCCACAGATGACGCACCACATGCTCATTTAATTCTATACTAGCCTCTAAGGTTCATCTAATGTGAAGATCTGAGCTGGTAGCTGTGATTAGCTGGAGATAATATAGACGCACTGAGTGGTGAGCATGAGATTATGTGTATGAGGCTGTACGGTGGCTCAGTGGTTAGCACTGCTGCCTCACTGCGCCAGGGACCCTGGTTTGACTCCAGCCTTGGGAGAGTATCTGTGCAGAGTTTGCACATTCTCCCCGTGTCTGTGTGGGTTTCCTCTGGGTGCTCCGGTTTCTTCCCACAGTCCAAAGATGAGCAGGTTAGGTGGATTGGCCATGCTAAATTGCTCATAGTGTCCAGGGATGTGCAGGCTACATGGATTAACCATGGGAAATACAGGGTTACTGGCATCGGGTGGTTTGGGTCTGGGTGGCATGATCTTTGGAGGTTTGTTGTGGACTCGATGTCAACTGACCTTCTTCTGCCCTGTAGGCATTCTATGATACAACCATTGCTGGGTTTGTGAGGCTGAGTACCTCGATGCTAAATTTGAGACGCACTCTGAAACCCGAGCCTCTCAGAGCAACAGTCTTCAGGAGGGAATTAAGAAGAAAATACTGATAAATAATTGAGAACTTCTGTGTTAACAAATTTCCATCACTGCAAACAGCTTTCAGTTCTCTAAAGCATTAATGTTATAGCAGAAAGTTCTATAATTAATTTGCAGCTTCTTTACGAGTGGAATGTGTGCATATTTTCCAGGGAAGGAATAGACCCTTTGCTTATAAATGTTACCAATCGTCTTCTCAATATTGCTGTGTGAAGTCACTACAATGCTTGTGTTACTCAAGACTGAAAATGAGCAGGTGTGGATTTAATCATGAACCACCAGAGTAAGAAGGGAGACAACAAGGTGCAGGGCTGGATGAACACAGCAGGCCAAGCAGCATCATAGGAGCAGAGAGGCTGACGTTTCGGGCCTAGACCCTTCATCAGAAAAGGGGGAGGGGAAGGGGGTTTTGAAATAAATAGGGAGAGAGTGGGAGGCGGATAGAAGAGGGATAGAGGAGAGGATAGGTGGAGAGGAA